TACTGTATGCTACTTTTCCTAGCTGAAGCAGACTGATAGATGTATTAAAATTCATTTGTGAGAAAGCAAGCTGTGAAATCTCAAAGGACATAAGAAACAATTGTTTCTGGGGTCTACACGTAGCTATCAACCATTGACCAGAGGACGGTAGTCTGGACTATTTTTATACCATTTTTGCTTCTGAAGCTCGAAATTATGCTCTCAGGCACAAGGGCTGAGGCAGGACACTAGCATCTCTTGTTGAGCTCTTTCCATCCATTTTCTTGAGACAGGTTGCTTTCCTGCCTCCTTCCCAGTAAATTCACATATACATTTTTGCTCCACTTAAATTAATCTTCACTCAGTAAGAGTGAGCAGAATTGCATTGTACACTGCATTCCAGAGGAGATCCTTCTGATGCCCGACATAGTATCATTAATATTTTTCTATTTCTGCTTGGCATGTCTTACCTGGTACTTCATTCCCTTTTTAACAGCCCCGTCATTGCTAATGGCTTAGGCACATCTCTGTATTAGCCTGCAATGTGTGAGGTGCAATCATTTGCTCTGTCTAACCGAGTCTCCTTTTGCCAGTAGAAATCCTTGTTATTGTTTTCTAAGTGAAATACTTTTCACTTTGTAGTACTAAATTTTAAACAATTTCTAGTACTAATATTCTCCAGACCATTTGTATTTCTTGTACTCCTAGCTTTTGGGAGCATAGAGCCAGTTACACAGTGATGATGGAAACTCTCATGGTTTCTTGTAGCATGAAATCTGGGGCTAGCAGCAAAGCCCAGAACACAGAGAAAAGTCTTCAGGCTGTGTAAATCAACAAAGCTCCTTTGATTCAGTTTTCACAAGGATGTGGCTCCAAATCTCTAGCATGTGTTCAAAAAATGTAGTCCAGTTAATGTGGAAGAAAATCCAAGTGCTATTGTTATTTTGAAGGCTTAAGATTACTATTCATGAAACACACTGGGACAAGAGAAATCTCATGAAGAAAAAGTAAACCAAGAAAAAAAAAAAACAAATATGTAACATTTAAAATTAACCTGAAGATTTTTATCTTTATATGGAAAATAATTTTTCTACTGTAGATTTGAGATGTTAATAAGTTTTCCCTTATGCAGACTAACTTGAAAAGAATACAAATGTCATAACCTGGATTAAAATCATTCCTACTCTATTTGAGATATACATCTTGTAATCAAGAACATCCAGGTCCCCCTTTCACAGGCACCTCTATAGTCCCCAGGGGTTTTCCATACTGAAGTTAACTTATGCAGGTAGAAAATTTAGACAGAGTAAGCCTTGGAGGACCAACGTGCAGGGCAGGAATATATATACCTGAAAAAAATGGATGAACTAATTTTAAAACTGATTTTGCTGGGTACACGCTGTCTCTTAAGTACTGTCTGTTGCCTCTGCTGGGTTCTCAGAGCTCTCTGTGAGTTCAGAGTTGCAGCTCCTTACTGGATAATCACCAAGGCAGTTTGTGATAAGTATCACGCACAGTGATGGAAGCAGTTCAGAGTTTCTGAAAGTAAATAGGCTTCCATTAATTGGAAAGAGCAGTCTTTAATTACTTTTCTAGCCTGCACTAGCCTATTCTAATACATATCATAATTTAGAATACAGTATACTAACGTCTACAGAATTTTCATTGCAAAGGGTGAAGAGCTAACTCTTTTGGAGCCAAAAGTAGTTATACCATTGATTTTAACAAGGTCAAGAATTCACCACAGATAGATAAAGTTATTCCTGAGTAGCATTCAGTGCTATGCAAGCAAAAGCAAGTCACTTCTCCAAGCTCCTGTGGACTCTCCCACAGCTTGTTTTTATACTCAAATCTAGTAGCACAGGGACTGTCTCCCAGATTTGTTTGACCAGATTTAGGAGTGTGAGAAGAGCCGCACACAAAAGGTCTCAAGATGGTAAAAAGAAAAGCTAACAAAAATAACAAATCTACAAGATTTCTAAGCATTGGACGCATAAGAACATAACGCTCATCCTGGATCACGCAGCAATCTGCCCAGCCTGTGCCCAGTGATGGATAGTTGGGGAAGCAGCAGAGGTGGAGCTCCAGATTGGGCTTTGGCTCCAGTTTACCTGCCAAGATTCCCTCAGTCAGTTTTAAAGACCCTGTGAAGCAGAGTTTACTTCTGGAACATATGGTTTAACAAACACCTCTGGATTTCAATTAATAAGCCTATTTCTTTTTTTAACTCATTTTTACTTTTCAAGTCCACTATAGCCTACAGCCTATTCCCATTTTTTGCTTAGGCACTGCAAAAAAAATAAAATAAAATAAAATAAAAAAAGGAAGGTTTTGGTTTAACCCTAATGATTTCACTAGATTGTGAAAAACAAAGCCTAATCCTTGCTTAATCACATTTTCTGCAATATTAGTTATGTTACTGACTTCTGTCTTATCCTCAGAAGCTCTTTCCAATCCAGTGTATGGAAGGCATTCCTGCAGCTGGCAAAACACATCACATTTCTCTCTTTCAGTTACCTTTGTCTCTTTTGAGATAGGATAACCATAACTGCATGCAGTATTTAAGATACAGATATGTCATGAACATGCATAATAACATAATCATACTTTCTATTTTCCTTCTATTCTTTACCTAGTAATTTGTAAGGTTCCCTTTGAATTTCCTGAGCTGGTCCTTTCAAACAACTCTCCAAAATTATTTCAACGTCTGTGGGTACCTATACCATCCTGTCCATAAATATATAGACATGAACAGACAAGAATTTAGGGAAGATTCCTCCCTCTATATAACTATTTTGCAGTTACCATCATTTAATTTTGTTTGCCATCTTAAAACACAGTCACTCTGGATAATGTGATACTTCAGTCTAAGCTACTAAATGAATATTAGTCAAAAGTTAATTTTGGCAGATGAAACTTTTAATAATTTTCCTTTATAATAATTGATCCTATTATAACCAACTCAACTCCAAATTATTCAGGGGTCTGACAAGGTTGCAGAGTCTCACTGAAGTTTCCATTGAATATGAGAAGTAATATTGGTAGCACAATAGATCATACTGATGCAATCTTATAAAAGCAGACAGCATACAAGAAGATACAGTTAATGCTCCATGTGGCAATTACAGAATTTAGCTGTAGCACTTCGGTTGAATACTTGTACCATCTCCTAATTAAATGATTCCACTTCACAGGACAGCTGTATAGTCCTCTGATTGAGTAAATAAAGGATTGTATAAACTTCCATCACCTTAGCAAAGGTGTTTTTTTTTTCCTGTCTTTCTTTTCCTTTTGGTCCTTTTGCTTCTACACCTGTTATAAGGTAAGAAATATAAGAATGGAAAACAATTCTGAAAAATAAGTAACATAAGATGCAGTGGAATTCAGCATGCCTGTAGCACATACGTTTTCAAAAAAAAGCACCCCAAAATAAACTTAATTATATGCTAAATTTCTCCTGTTTCTGATTAAAGAAAGATTCCTTTATTTTCCAAAAAATAAAATTATGTCTATATATATATAATATCTAGGATAACTGAAGGAGAACATTCCCCTAGCACTAAGCCAAAGAGGGAATCACTTGGTAAGTAACAGCAGGAGCCTGATGCCATCCCTCCACACTGCTATCACCCGAAGAGCACCACACAGCTGCAGTTTTACAGAAGGACTTTTGAAGTTCTGTGACAATACAAAAAAAAACTCTGTTTTCAGCTTGTAGTCTCAAGACAGCAAGAGCTTTTCTGACATTTTCTGATATTAATAAATATTCTAAATTAACATATGAAATCATTATTTTTTAAAACACAATTATGATAATATACACATAAAATATGTGATCATGCTTTCATAGATTGAATGAGTACATAGGTGTTCTATAGGTCCTATATAAAAAAATAGGAAAATCATCTACTGTAGTGTCAGGGAATAAAGGAGTTCTGCCCATGATGCCCTGTTATTTAATAATTTTATATGGAACACATCAGATATATATTTCATGGAAAAGCATGAAGAGATCATAATTCTTCATTTATTTAGAAAATATCAACATATATGACATCCAAGTACTCTTAGTCTTACTTTTGCATGAGAAAAGAGTGAGCCAAACTCAGGTCTTCTGAAACATCACTGAATTGGATGATGGGTGAATTGCTGTAGCTTTTCCTATGCTTATGCCTCACATAAGATCACTGTTTACTGGCAATATCATTGTAAAATGTGCCTCATGTTCTATTTAGGATGCATCAGTAACTGCAACTTTTAGTGCATAGCCTGGGACTGGCTTTTGCAAATTTGTAAATTTACCTTGTAAATCTGGAGAACCCCAAAATTAGGTTCTCCTGCTCTGTTTACAGAGGAGAAATTGCACATGTGGTTTACAAAATGTTTCCCCAGAAGGAGAGCACTAAACATCTGAGTAATACGCGAGATTTACAAACTAAAGCCTACAAAAGTGGTTTTCCAAGAGTAGCAATGATTAACACAACCTGTCAGGGCTTTATTTATTAGTTGGGCTCTCTGCGCCAAATCCAACCACAGAGTTGGAGGCATGAGCATGCGTGTACACACGCGTGCACATGCACACACAACACACTTGTTGTTACAACATGCTATTATTTCCTTCCTTTCTTACAGAAAACATTGTAGAAGATTAACCAGCTCTCCCTTTTCCTCCTAGTACACTGTGATTCTCCAAAGTCAGAATTCGTGTCATTCTGAAATTCAAACTGGAGAAGGTTTTCTTCATTCTGTGCAGATCAAAGACAAACAGGGGAAAAAAAAAAAAAAAAACAACAAAACCCACCCTCATAAAGAATGCAAGGGCCTCTTCATTTCTAAGTTATGCAGATGACCCCTCCACAAAAATAACAATCTCTAGGAACTTGGAAGAAGAAACTGTAGTCTCAGTTGCTTTGACCTAAATAAAGTGTCTGTGTAATTATCTTCAACATGGCTTGCCAAAACATCATTTTATACTGTTCAAATGCATATTCTAAGAGGGGATGGAAATTTGAGGGACAGGATGGCAAGCAAAGTACATTTTATTTCTCAGAACAATTAGAAAGATTATAATAATACAGCAAATACTGTGCATCCTGCCACTATGTGCCATCTTCCATCCCAAAGGATCTCAAAGGGACTTGTCACTAATTCCATTTTTCTCGTTCCAAAAAATAACATGTCAACCTTTAACTATTTTGTTCCATACAGTACAATACATAAATTTCCTACTTCCGTTTTCATCCTCGTGACACTGCCAGTGTGCATTTCTTTGTTGTTGTTGTTTTTTTTTTTTCCAGTGACTTGGGATTTCATACAGTCTTGATAAACAGGCTTCTTTGCTCAAATACAAGCCATTTTTTGCTCATAAATCATACCTTCCTTCTTCATTGCAGACATTTTTCAAACCTTTTACTTGAATACTGGAGATGGTTGGGCAATTTTAGTTATGCAATAAGAAAACTGATAAAATTTTCTTTTGAAAGGATTTGCATGGAAACAAAATCTCAGTGCAGAAAAATCTCAGTTCAGAAAACTGAGGAAAATAGAAGAGACAAATATGTTTTTATGAATATATTTTTTAATAAAACTGAATTTCTTATCAAAATATCTATTAAACAAAATATGCTATTTTAAACTGATCATTCATTACACTGGAAGACATGATTTACAGGATGATGTTCAATCCTATAACATCTTTCTTTTGTAATAGAAGTACAGATTGATTTGTGAGATACACACCCCAACAGCTGCCTGAAACAGAGGATATGTTAAAAAATAGGAGAAAAATGTTCAACATTCTGATACATTTTGCAGATTTTTAATAAAAACTTAAGTTCTATTTCCTCAAAATCTGGAAAAAAAAAAAAAAAAGAGAAGAAAGAAAAATCTCAGTCTTTCTCCTTATTATCTTAAGCTGACATTTCCTCATCCTGGCAAATTAAATTCAAGCGCCTTTAGAACTCAACTGTTTGTAACTTTGAGAGGGATTTTTATAGACAGAAAATTATTCCCTGACTTGGAGGCTGGCCAGGGCACTGCAGAGAACAGCATCTTGAGAAAAAAACAAGGTCTGGTCAAAACAAGGGATATGCTCATGCTATACTGTTTAATATAAAACCGCCCTCCTGGAAACAGACGAACTGTCAGACACAGTGACCATTCCAAACAAAGCAGTAAAGCATTTCATCATGAATGTTATCCCACACTGTGTAATTTCAGACAATAGACACTAGTTTGTTAGCAATGTTTGAACAATTTACTAGTACATGTGAAGGCTGGTCAAGTAGAGAAAGGAAAAAATTTCCTGCCCCATACAGAAAACCTCAATGAGAATACAAAATACAGAGAGATGATTGCTCCCACCCAAGACCTTATCAGGCTGATATCTAGATGAATGCAGATAGTCCCTGTGTTGTTAGAGATTTATTAGAGCCAACAGTGAAAAGATAAGTAAGACAAAAATTGAGACTCAAAGTTCAAAGCATAAAATAGGTGATGAACTAGGAACATCTCAAAACTACCATCAGGAGACCCTGTTGGGATCAAATGTAAGCTCAGGAGAAATAATGTATTTGTGAGGAAAGTATGTGTCTTGATAAGATAAAGCTTCAGTCATCTCACAGAGCAGTGGCTGGGCATATTATTCACAAATATCACAGATACACACTATTACAAACTCAGCACATTAACATGAAGGTGGTACTGAGACTCAGTCAGCAGGATGTGGAAAGGAACATAGCAGAAAAACAACCAATAAACATCAGAACATGCTTTCAAAACACCCTGCTTACAGAAGAACCAAGTACAAGCCAGTCTTTTATCATCATAAGAATAAATTGCATTGGCACCAACATCAAGATGCCTGCAAGGTAAACACAAGACTTTGTACAATACTGGCATTAAAAAAGTAACTCTTAAACCCAGAATAAAATACCTTAATTCTCCAAGCAAGCTGGAAGCTCATAAAAACTACAAAAGAAAGAACTTGGTGTGAAATATGTTAAGTTAGACAATTGAGAAATTTAACTGTGTAAAAAAAGTTCTGCTAACCACATTTAATGTTGCTGTTTCAAGTACTCTAAAAAAAGCACATTAGGAAAGGTGGCTTCCCAAGAAGGGATATTGTGTTTTGATAGGCTGCTTGTGTGATACATTTACATCTGATATCTTCAAAAACTCTGCTTTCAAAAAGTGCCTCATGAGAGAGGACACTATATATGTAGGAAGGACTAAAACCTGAACTATGCACTGCTTTGGCTCTCTTTCTTTTTGTGTTTGAACATCAAACACCAAGGACATCACTTCACTTTTTGTTCACCTTTTTAGCTTACCCAATAACCCTTAACACTCCCTTTCAGGAAAGTATAACTTCTAGGTGCTGCCTTTTCTCCTTTCTTCCCATGAGTGCAGTAAAGATGAAGCTACTAATGTCCTTCAAATGAAATGACAGCAGCTGTAAAAGAGAAGGCATTGTCTGGGGTTCTAAAGAGACATGTTATTTGTCACCTTTTGCATTACCTGTTAGTGCTGTGCTGACTTACTCCTTTTTTCTCTTTTAAGTGGATTTCACATTTTCTCTAGCAGCTTCTTTGGCTTCTGCAGGCCTTTGTTTTGTTGTTTATTTTGGTTTTATCTGCAGGAACAATGCATGCTGTTTTTCCTATCGTGTTTTTTGTACACTGTGACCCAAAATCTAACACTTCCATTTCTTATTATCTACAACAGAAAATTCCATTGTTTTAAATTAATTTTTCTGTTGAGACCACCATCTGCCCAGCATAGGAACAATGACATAGCATGTCTATATGTTGTAATGTGGGTAGACATTAACATTGTGCCAGTGTGTTAAGCCAACCACACTCAGCCACAGACATCAAAGCATTAAACCTGACATGATAAACCCAGCTGATAATGAACCCAAATATGCTGACTGCAAGAAGGCAGGTGACTATCCCACTACTTATGATGTCCCATTTTTTGCAGCTAAGCAGGGTTTATGTCCTCCTATGTCAATTGAGTGTGCAGCTCACACACCGTATCAAGGCACCCACCTCCAAGAGGAAGCCAGGCCAATGGATACATTTCATGTATCTACAGCCACTAAATATTTGCAGTGTGCTAAAGCACACATTCAGATCGCAGCTTTCCCCTGCTAAGACTCATGTTTAAATAATTTTCAACTTCTTTTTAATTATGTGCCTTAGAGCCTGCTTTCCAGATTGAATCTTTACACTAGGCAGACTAGATCTATGCTAGAAGAGCATGTCTCGTTTCAGCAGGTATCTGGTTGGAGATGTCACCCAGAAAGCCAGCTGTCTTCTGCAGGGGAGGATGGAACATAAGTAAATAAAACTGAGGGGCTGAGTACCCCAGTACAAGCAAATATGTTGAGCAGGTTTGGATATGCACAGCATGCCTGCCCAGCAGCACATTGCCATAGGTGAGCAGAGCTTCTGATTCTCAGCCCCAGGCACCAAGGACAGTTTGCCATAGAGGGGCAACTAGAGCCAGGCTTAGGCTTCTAAGGGCAGAATTTGCTGTGTCTCAACTCAAATTCAGAGAGACAAGCAAGCTGAAAATGTCCTGAATTGTTGGCCATTTCCTTTAGAACAATGTAAATCATGGGAGAGGGATCAGCCGAGGAAGTAAAGGAGACAGGCAATTCCTGTGCTAACCAATAACCCTGTCAGGCCTTCCCATTACACATCTTCCCAAACCCCACCAACTGAGGCAATACTCAGAGGGACAAAGAAATCCATTAATTGTTTTCCCCTGAATATATCACAAACATCTCTTGCCCAGTGAACCATTCTCTCCTGTACATCCTGAAAAATCACAAAACCAGATTATCAGAATTTGTAAAAAGCATCACATTCAACAATCTCTATGATACTACATGTGTAGTATGTGGCTGAAGACTGGAATTTGATCTGTCTGATGGTTACAGGCAGCAAAGTCCCAAAATCCTTTATCATTTCAGTTCTCCCTGTGAGATTTAAGTGAGACTGCATTAAATGATGGCTGTTGGTTGTCTGAAGTTTCATTTTCAGAGGGATTCTCTTCAAAGGTCCACTCCTAAAAAGCGACTAAGAAATTTGTTTTCCCCACTGAAAACAGCTCCTCATTTTGGGAAGCATTGGAATTGGTTATTATTAATCCTCCCAGAGGCAAGTAGTCACAGTAGGTACCAGCAATATGCACCCACAGATTTCCAGGCGCTCAGTGTGGGAGCAGAACTGAAGAATTTCTTCCTTCAGTCATAATTATTTTTTTTTTCTTTTTGCCTATCTATAGTTTTCCCTGTAAGGAAAGTGATATTTGCTGTCATAGGTTCACCCTCACTACGTAAATTAAAAACATGCCCTTTCTCCATTACATGATTACAGGCAGACTTTCAACTCTGATAGTCTATGAGCTAAAGTCAAGGAACCTGTGCCAGCTGTTACAAAACAGTTTTCCTGGAAAATAGCCACCAGACCAGCAGTCAAACTAGGACATTCTACATACAAGGAAGAATAAAATAAAAAAAAAAAATAAAAAATAAAATAAAAAGCACAGCAGTACAACACATGATTTTAATTAAGTCAGGAATGCCATGAAATGTCCAGAAGAAAACATGTCTATATTAACCACTAAATTTGATGATCCATGAACAGTCACTGCAAGAAGAGTACTGTGGCACTGAATCACTCACCCCAGCATTTTCACTTTCAATTGAAATCTGTTGCAGAAATTCAGGTGTCTTTCTGTCCTGTCAAAACTTGGATACTTGCTCATCTGAGTATCTGAGAACATCACATTATGTGATGTGCCTCACATCCATCACATGTTCTTTGTTCTCTCATCATCTCCCCATGGAGGAGGAGTATGTGGCGCCAGGCCTCTTGTTTTCCTAGTTGTGTTTTTTTTCTCTGTTTTTATCTGCACATGTTGCTGCATACTGGATAAAGCAAGGTCACAAAGCATGTCTCACACTTGGAGTGGAAGACTCTGAGGCTTGTGATGGTCCTTAGCTTCTTAAGCTTTTGTTCTAATAGATGAAGAGCTTCCTTAAGGCTGTGTTTTGTTCACAGACAAGCTTTACCCAAGAGTGCTCTCTTGAGCCGGAAGAACAAAATTATCAGTGACCACCACCAGAACACCATTTACGTAGCTTTCTACAAACTTCAGTGGATAAATCTCAGGTGTCCCCCAGAGATTTCCAGTGAAGAGTTCTGGCTTGGGCCCACTTCTGATCAGAAATGACAAAGCCTAATGATCTACTATGAGCTATGACAACAAGAGAAAATATAGCTACTGTAGCTCTATTTAACACCCCAAACAAACTCTGAAACAAATTTTTATGCCATTTAACTTCAGGAGGAAGCTTTGGTGACTAAGACTGAACTCCCATGTGCTCAGAGGCTGGGGATTCAGAGCTAGGAGTCTACTCATCCTCCCAGAACTTAAAGACTCAGGTACCTCCAGACTATAATGTAGTGTAAAATCCAGAAGGAGCTGTCGCAAGATGTTACAACACTGCATGGGCATGATTGCTGGCATGTATCATGAGAAGAAGGAGGATGTTTAGTCAGCTTGTCCAGGATGTATTGAGAGCTGTTGGCAGCCAGGAGGGCAGTTTTGGGCAGTCATCAGGGAAATTGCAGATGGATTATACATTTTAGAGGGTCTGGGTATCTCAGTTCCAGAGAATGAACAGCTGCGAGGGGAAGGGGACATGTGACCACTCTCATCGTGGTTGGGAGATGCTTCTCTGGGACAGTCTCCAGTTGACCCTGTGCATTTTGATGTCAAAGCAAAGCAATCCTGACATACAGAGCTGACAGTGCAGAAGCCAAGTTGCACAGGAGACCACTGCTGCTCGTTTGGATTTAGCATTTTGGTTATAGAGACAGGGCATGTTTTTACTTACATAGTGAGGGTGAACCTATGATAGTAAATTACCAAAAGCAACTGCTGTTCCTGGTGATTGAGTTTCACAGTGTGGGACTGAAAACCTAAGTCAAAGAAGGAGGAAAATGTGTGTGTAAATACACATATTAGCTATCCTGGACATTCAAATTAATTGTACTGGAAGCAAGAAAGCTTACATGTAAGATAATGAACACAATGTCACGCCACCAAGAAAAAACAGAGAATCACAAGTTTAGCATATGCATATCAAGGTTTTTAATGTTATCAGAAGGGAATTTCTTTTAAGAAATGTTAAGTATTCTGATTTGGCTTGAACACAAGTATTCCCTTAGAAATGCCAATCAGTTAGGTAAAAAAATCTACAGAAGAATATTTTGTACAGGTCTTTTGTCCTAGATATGGGTGAAACAGGAATAATTTCATGATGAGGTATCTACTGTGTTCCCCAAACAGGGCTTAGTATAACATCAGTTCTAGCTCTACCCACATCCATCAAAGGACCCCACTCATAATTCTTTTCATTAGTATATTTTACTGTACATTGTAAGCATCATTTCAAGTCATCATGCTCATATTGTGCTTCTAAACATGCACAGATGTGTTTGTACAGGTCTATAAGGGTTAATTGTAACTTTACCAGTTATATATTGCAAACAAAACACTGACAATAAAACAAGAGACAGAAAATCAATATGGTGTCAGACAAATTAATTATCAATGGTATATGGAGTTAAAAATAATGGAATGAGATCATCCACTTAGTTATTTTCAGTGGTCTCTCTGTGATCCTCTTCTGAGTTCAGAACATTCTCCATAGGTCTGCAAAAGCAGAATAATTACCTGTTCAACCAAGCTCCTTTCTCCACCTGCTTCTGCAAGGAACTCTCAAATATCCTTCAGCAGCCCCACTCATAGATAGCCCTTTGCCTCAGATTATACCTGTTATCAGCTTGCTGGGACCTCCTGGTCCTCTTATATCTTATTATCCCAACTGGGAAGAGAGCACTTCCAAGTTCCAAATCTTTCCTCCTTCTCCCACTTCCTGCTCAGGTGCCCGGGGTTGAAACCCAGCTAAACACTCTGATCCTCACCTCCCACAAAGTCCTGCTCTTTCTCCCTGCTTTCCTATTTCCCTGGCCTGGATTTTGTTCCCATGCATTCCTCATTCTCTCCTTGCTACTTTTTTCTGTCCCCTATTTTGCATCTTCCACATCACCCAGGTTTTCTGAACCTTTTCTTGAAATTTTTTTGAAGGGCTTCCATAGCTCCATCCCACCTGCAGCTCCTATGATGTATGCTTCATGCCTTTAGGCCAGGTTTCCGACTCCAGTGATAGTTACAGAATGTTCCTTTCCCAAGACAAAGGCAAATGTCTCTGGGCCAAATCCTGAGCTGATATGCATCAGCTTGGGTCCCCTGATTTCTGAAGAAGAGTGCAGGCTCAGGGCAGCTGGTACACAGCTTCACCCTAAAGGATGACTGCAACACATCATACAGAATTGAGAAGTTCTCATTACCCCGGTAATGGCTACAGCTAGTCCTGCCTAAAAGCCAAAGACGGGAGCTGGTATATTGTGGTTTTATAGTTGTGGGTCATTCACAGTTCTGTCAGATACATAATAATCACAACAGACTTTGCTTGGCTCCTTTCAAAAACTTGGAATTGCTTTGGGGGAAAGGGGTGAAAAGCAACAAAAGGACTTTAAAGTGTATTCATTGAGGTCACCAAGTTATGACACATATATTTGGTTAAAAATATTATATTTTTGTTCATTGTCGCAAAAACTGGCAGTTCGGATTTACAAGGCCAGTTTCCATCTGCTAACTCTGCTGGTCTGTCTGGAGTCTCCCCTAGTGTCAGCATGTGAAAACAGTGGCCTCCAATAACCAGTGTTTACATAGGACTAAATGTGATTTTTCAGGTCCCCCTCCCTCCTTGATTACCAGCCTTTAATTAATAGGGCTCAGGGGTCAGTAACTCAGACTTTCTGTATTATGAGATCCTTTCATCAACAAATCATGGCTCAGATCATAGCTCCAGGCCCAGCCCTGAGACAGCAGTAGGTGATGACAGTGAGTCAGCCCAGGAGCAGCCCTGGGAGGCTGAAAGCTCAGAGGCAGCTCTGGCAGCAAGCAGACCCCTCCTGCCCTTTCCTCAGAGCAGGAAGCACTATTTACAACCAGCCTATAACCCTCCCCATGACAGCTCAACTGTCCCTGGGAGCCACTGTCTACCTGCCTGTGGGAGAGGGAAGCAGCTCCACCCGCACACCTGGGCACAGGCAGGTTCACAAAAGCCTTACGCCTGTGCACGGACACATAAATCTGCCCCAACAGGTTTCTCTCCTCAGCGGCAAAATGACTGAAATATTCTGCAGATGGTAGGTCTCTGAGCAAGATAAATGAATTACCAACCAGGGCCAAGCCCTTGGCTAGAGAGACTTTGAGCCACACTGATATGATACAATGTGGAGATTTGCTCACACACACGCCTCCCTATATTTCCCTGCAAACCAAAGCTGTTGTCCAGCAGATTCTTCTTGCAGTAAACTTTGATTAGCGCTTATTCTATTGCTTTGGCCATCCTTCTTTTTCACCCCCTTCCTTTGTTTAGACTTTTTAACCTTATAGCTTCCAGTGTGCTGTCCTGAGTGATGCAAACTAGCAAATCACAGCGTAAAACCCACCTGAATAATGGTGCTACAAAGGAAGAAACAGAAGACGCTTAGCAGAAAGCTGCCAAGAGAGGCTGTGAGATGCCGGATAAAAGCGAGGGATGTATCTGAGGAAACAAGGCAACTGCAAGAGATAAGAAGGCAGATATACAGATCTAAGCTCAAGAAATAAAGCAGATTTTTTTAAATCAGGATAACAATAAAGACAAAGATGAGAGAAGAAAGCAGGAAGAACAATATTGAATTTATCAAGACAACACTGAACAAACAAAACAAAACTTGAAAGTACAGTAGTAGGAAGAAAGTGCAAGAGAGGGAAATACTTTATTGCAATGCTGGGAAAAAGACAGAACTCTGTAAATGACATGGCACAAATCATTAAAAGGAGTGGAGTATTCTGCAAAGACTTAGAGTCTTGTGTTTAGAGTAACTAGCTGAGAAAAGAGGTTTTACCTTCAAAAAAGCACCTTAGAAATCACAAGTGAAGGAAATACGTGGCCTGACCAAAGCATTAGGTCAAGGCACTGGCAGGCAGTTGCCTTTGATAATCTATGGAACAGCCTGTCAGCTGTGTGCCCTTTCTGCTGTCTGTTTGGTGTCCTGTATAAAAAGAGCTGTTGGTTCCCCTTGCAGGAGATGTTTGTCTCTCTCACAACAAAACACCAGGGCAGTTGGCACAATTTACTCTCT